ACAGCAGCCCATCAGTAGCACTGTTTACAATGGTGTACAAAACACAAAGACTAGCTACCTCATCAATGGAATCATGTCCTCTTTACCAATGAAAAGTTGTTTTAGTCTGACAAATGATTCTTCGTGACAGCTGATATGGAAAGAAGTAAGGACATGCTTTCATATGACTAATGTCAAGGAACGAGATCACTGGGGTAGTCCTGGCATGCTTGTATGGGAAAGTATTACAATGAACGGATGGACAGAGGTTCACTCATCGAAGATCATTACTGTGATGAAGTTATTCTCCTCCATGTGCCTCTTTTCTGGGGGTGCCATTGATCCCAACTTTATTTTTATGAATGAGAATGCATGGCTACATGGGACTCATGCTGCTGGAAAGTTAATATATCCATAGAATGGATTGGTCAGCATGCTTCTCCGATTTAAATTCCATTGAACATACATGGGTTACTTTAGGGAGATGCCTAGCAGCACAATCTTACTTTCCAGAGAACACCAGACAACTGAAGCAGATGCTCCTTGAAGAATGACAACTCTTACCGCAAGAATTGTTAGATAATCTGATGTTGAATATCAACAGATGGTGCAATGCAGCCATTGTAGTCAGCGGAAGTTATATGCCTTACTAAGGCTCTTTGGTTTATTGTTCTCCCTTTTGACCAGACAATTTTTTGCACCAATGCAATTCTGTAAATAAAGACATTTTCTATTCGTCCTACATACAGCAATATACATAAAATTCATTTTTTTGCTACTATGCTTTCCTCAACCTATAATGTGTTTCTATAGTACTATAATGTGTTTCTGTAGTATGAATTTTCTGCCTTTCAAAATGATTGTTTTGTGGAACTATGGCCCACATCAAAAACATTACATTGTTTAAGTTTTACCCACTAGTGTAGATCAAAGTATCATTATGAAATGAGATCCAGTACTTTTGGTACTGTATATGAGATCCAGTGTATAGTGATGCATTTTTATATACAGTTGATTCCGGTTAATCGGACCACATCAGGAAGCAATCATTTTGGTCCTAATAAACGACTGGTCCGATTACACGAGCATATCCTATGTTATAAGACGGGATGTGCTATATGTAGCAAACAGTAAATGTACACGTAAATCATATACTAAAATGTAATTATGAACTTTATGGTGTGGTTCACACGTATGGCGAACATACATGTACAAACAAGAAATACAGTCAAACTTTTGCATTGAGAAAATTAATTTAGAAACAGATTTTAAGAAACAATCGCCATGATACTCAATATGCGAAGCACAATAAAATCAATTTCTTACGAAGTTCCAGCCAACATTTGAAGAACTTATCCAATGTGATCTGATGCGTTCTCTTGATGGATTGCACGTGAATGAAATCGCCACAAACATCTAACGCAGCAATGGGACTGCCTTCATTTCCCTCCTGCATGAAATACCGACGCAAAGTTTCCTCGCATCCTGTGTTGTCACTTGCACCAACTTATTAGCGGCATCATCATCACTTCCTTGGTCTTCCGATGCTGTCGTGTGTTTTGCTGCAACTTGAGCAAGGAATACGATTGCAAATGCGTCGTACGATGAAAATGAAGATTACTATGAAAATGCTACGATGAACAATGAAGATTACGAGCAGCGTCGTAATCTTCATTTTCATCGTAGCATTGAAGCTCGTTGTCAACAGATAATTCTTCGCAATTTTGTACCTGTTGAAGTTCCACTTGTAAATTATCATTTTTACTTTCAATGAGCATGTCCACATCCATCTCCAAAACCACGTGCTTAAAACCACAGTGAAAAAAACAGTTCTGAACTGTCTCACTGCTCACTTTTCGCCAGCTGTCAGCCACAAATGTAACTGCTTGTAAGATGTTGACCTTTGCACTGACTTTGCTGGCTTTTGACGATGAAGTCAGCAAACTTTCTTCAACTGCTTCAAGTATGCACTTAGCCAAACTTGCATGATAAAGGGTCTTCAAATTTTTTATGATGCCCATGTCCATTGGCTGGACCAAACTGTGGTCCTGGGAGGTAGAAATTCCAGTTGGACGTTCATCAAGCAATTTAAATGAGGATGTGCTGCACAATTGTCAAGAAGAAGCAGCACTTTTCTCGACTGGCATTGTAGCTCTCTGTCCCGATCCTTTAGCCACTCTTTAAAACGTTCAGAGGTCATCCACGCATTTCTGTTCGCAAGATACACAACTGGTAAACTCTCCATCCTAACTCCTTTAAAGCAGCGAGGCTTAGTGCTTTTTCCTATAACCAACAGCTTCCTCTTGTCCATTCCTAACATGTTTAGCAGCACAAAACTGTTACGCGATCCATCGCTTTTTTGGAGCCAGAGAGTGCAACATGTTTGTAACTAAACGAGCCGTCCGGTGTAGGAAGATAATACAGCCCAGTGTCATCAGCACTGTTTATGTCATCTGCTGAAAAATTTTCTAAAAGCTCGGGCAGTTTTATTGATTTCCATTCATCAGCATTTGCACTATCAGCACTTTCTTTCTTGCCATGTGCTTTCTTGAATTTTATGTCATGTCTAGATTTCCATCAAGACCACCAACCCACGGTAGCTTTAAAGTCACCGTGGCCCAGCTTTTTAGCGAGTTCTTCTGCTTTGCACTTTAACATTGGGCCGCTTACTCACACAGATCATCCAGTAACAATGGCAAACCATTCATTAAGGGCCTCATCGACATCTGGGTCCTTGCCTTCATGCTTCCGTTTTTTTAGAAGTTCCTCCTCGTCCTTCAACATTGTGCCCATTCTTCTCGCAGCTCATTCTCTTGTTTTATCAAGTGTGAAATTGTTCTCTTTGCCAATCCGGTTATTTCCACCAACCGACGCTGATTAGTGTTTTGTGTTTGTTGCTTGATTTTATCCAGGAAACCAATTTTTTCAGCTAACGTCCTGTCATGGCATTTTGGCAGGGGAGACAAGACACGCACACAGTTCACTGAATAAAGTGGTCTGAAGAAACCTTGGTGTTTCAAATTCAAGATGTTGAGGTCAAGAGGGAGATAAAATGCTCGCCATTCAAAGCTTTGGCACTAAAATCATCCCAAAAAAGGTGATGAAATGATAGCTTTCTCATGTAAACTTTAGTCGTGATTGGCAGGCGGGAATTTCTTTCAGGTGGAGTCAGACATTCTATTGTTCATTTCCTCCAAACTCGGAGGCACAGGTCAAAGAAAATGGTGTGCATGTTCACCTCCCACCAGTTTTGCTTTTGTCGTGCACTTTAAGGAATTCCTGACCTTTGATAAAGAAATTTTCCTGGGGAGCCACAACTACAGATCCTCCCATATGTCGCAGACCATTTGTACATCTGCTGTACGCGGCCGACTTGTGGCTTCTGTTTCTTATTCCCTCTCACGTTTTTTGGTCCGATTAAATATAATTTTAGTCCAAATAAGTGAATAATATTAGGCTTATGTACATAGGATTTGTTTCAGTTCTTTAGGATTTGGTCTGAAAAAACAGCTGGTCCGATTACCTGGTGGTCCAATTAACCGGATTCGACTGTACAAGATCATCCAATTTGATTCTCTGAGAACTCTGATTTTAATATTGCTGAACCAGTTCAAGGAAAAAAAAAAAAAAAAAAAAAAAAAAAACCACCATAATTATCAAGGCCTGGATTTTGATAATACATGCATTTTTTTAATATTTTTCTCTTTAAAGCAATTTTTTTAAGTTTTTAGAGCATTTTATGGTCCATGCTAGTAATCAAACTGAAAAATAAAGTTATCCTTGAAATAACATCGTCTCAACTTCTGTGAACTAATTTTACTTGGCAGGGATGTCCTATCCACAGAAAACTGATTATGTAATTTGTTAGTCCTATCTATCTCAAACACATGGAATGAGTCTCACTTTTTTCACTAGATACGAGTGTCACTTCAAAGAAATTTTTCATACCAGCATATCTAAGCTCTTTAAGACTTCTTTGACCTTGTTCAGTGCCAGAGGACTACATGCAAAAGTGAAAAAGCTCATCCACAGACACATTCTTGGTATAACGGACTCACATCTGCATGTAATACACTTTTTTACCTGGATAATTTTTTTTCATCAGCTGATATAAACCTGTTGCAATTCAAATTGCACAGAATTCTTTGTCCATGCACAAAATTGAAGGAAATCTTGCGCACATGAGATCCAGTTTCAGGATCCTGATTTCAACTATTAAATCCTTACAACAGCAAAATATGGAACTTGTCAATGGAATAAAATACATTGATAAATTATGCAATGTTTTCAAAAAGGCCAAAGGCAAAATTCCAAATACTGCACCTGCTAAATTCAACACTGTTTTGATTAAAAATTGTGGCTTCCAAACTATGCAGAACATATCCCTTACCTCGACAGGAGACAGAGATTCTTTTGAAACTAAAGAAGAGTTAATGATAAGTAATGACTTTTTTCCCAAGTATGTTCCAATAACTGCAGTTAGATGTTGAGAGAAGATTCTCTCGATGCAAAAACTTATATATGGACAATAAAAGATCTTTTACTTTCAGAAATATCCAAAAGCACCCAATAATTCACTGGAATTGTAAAACATTTCAGCAAGGATGAAAATTCTTAAGAAAAAATAGAATTTAAGTGACAGGTGTGTGTAATTGTTTCTATTTTAATCTATTTGTCGATGTTTGTCAGTTGTGTAATTTTTTATATTGTTACTTTTTATTTTCTGGGGAGATTGTTTTTATTTTTCAGGGCATTTTTCTTTTCCATTTTAAGTGCATTTTTAGTGAATTTGTGGATCATCAAAATCCAGCCCCTGATATTTACCATTAGTCATTATCATGAATATAATGATAAAATGGAAAATAATTTTAAGGTAATAAAAATTTTGGCTAGCATGTTATCTGAATCAAATTTTAAAAAATCTAGCTGTTTATTTTTTATACATTATTTATGATAAATGAAGCACCTTTTAGGAGAAAAATTATGCAATGTTACTTAATCAAAAACAGAGAAATACTTGCCTAACTCTATTCGTTCTAAGTCTTCCAATAATACATGTTGATATTTAATAATTCTATCAGTTTGGTCATCATACCTAAACATTAATTAAAAGACAAATGTAAACCAAAGCAATAAATATATCTACAAGCAAAAAAAAATCACGATATTCATTAATGTAATTTGGATTAAACTGAAACTCTTCAGTAGTTCATTAATGAGATATCCTATACAAATTAGTAGAGACATTCTAGCAAGATAACGTGATATTTCAAGAACTTTTGTTTTTTAACTACATATATTTAAACATAGGTAATGTTTACATATATTAACGAGCACATGTGTTTTTAAGCATAAATAGTCAGCAGAAATAAATTATGCTAAACAAAAATGCTTAGCAATCAACTTCACATTTTCCTACAAAACAATAAACAAAAAAGTTTATTATCCTAAAATTTTTGTTTCTTTTTTTTTTTTTTTTTTTTTTTTTTTTTTTTTTTTGTACAAAACAACACATTAAAAAAGTTTATTATCTTAAAATTTTTATTTTTTCTTTCCTACAAAACAAATAAAAGTATATTATCCTAAAACTTTAATTAGTTCTACATAAGGAAAACAATTATCTTAGGATTTTAATTTATTCTGCAAAAGCACATTTTCAAACTTCTAAATTAAACGCAGTTTAAAAGTACTAATTAATTGTTTTCTAAGCAATGTTGTTTCTCCCAATGCTGACATTATTGCATCATTGGTACAATTTTAATGCACTGAAACTTAATAAAATTTAATTTTCATGTTGTGTTGAAATAATTTTTTTAAACAGTGAAACTGTTTTTTTGATAAAAAAAAAAGTGTTTCTATTTCAGAATTAAAATCTCAATATGGAGCAAATTATAAAGCTGCTCAATAACTGTTTTACCAGATATCATCAAGTATTCACTAACAGCACATCTCAAAAATTACCTAAAAAATTTCTTTCCTTACATGAATGTCTCTCTAAAACATACAAGAAAGTACTGCTTATTTAAATCTTGATAGGAAAAAAATATTAGAAACTTATATTTCTTTGAAAAATTGCACAACATAACATCAGATAATAGGAAAAAATATTAGAACCTTATATTTCTTTGAAAAATTGCACAACATAATATCAGATAATCTGTGAATAAATTCTAATATTGAACATAATACTTCTGATGTGAAAGTAACTACTTTAAAAATTACCATAAAAGGGCTTTTAATAAAGGGAAATGCAAGATTAGAATGTACAGTCTTTTATATGCCCCATATATGAAGTAAAATCAAAATTTCTCTCCCATTCTTCTCTGTAACATTTTCAGATAGTTGTAAACTTAATTTAATTTTCAGACCTTGAAGTTGATAAATATTTGCTTTATAAAACTTTCTACCAACACAGGGAGATTTATATAGCTTGTGACAAATTAACCAGAGATTATTTTAGTTTAGTTCCATCACATAATTTACAGATTTATCAACCATTCCAGCTGTAAATTTGCTGATCCTTTTTTCATGTATGAGCATTAAAAAAAATTTTAAATGCATTTACTAATCCATATCTTATTACCCAATACTGCATACAGTATAACTGTATCAATGTAATTTTGTTAATCAATTACTTAAAATTATGCATATTACTAGTCATATTAAGTTTGTTAATTATTTACTAATAAAATTAATTAGTTATATTAATTACATTATTAATTAGTTTATTTTACAATAAATGCTAAGCCATGAAGTAAACTTATGAACATTACAGAATAAAATTATGACTCAAAAAGAACAATGAAAATTAATTTGATATTCTGTGAATAAATTCTAATATTGAACATAATACTTCTGATGTGAAAATAACTACTTTAAAAATTACCATAAAAGGGCTTTTAATAAAGAGAAATGCAAGATTAGAATGTACAGTCTTTTATATGCCCCATATATGAAGTTATATCAAAATTAGTCTCCCCTCCTCCTCTGTAACATTTTCAGAGAGTTGTAAACTTAACTTAATTTTCAGACCTTGAAGTTGAAAAATATTTGCTTTATAAAACTTTCTACTAACATACATTAATTTCCATTAAGCAAATGAATTAAAATTACTGTTTTCACCACTAAGCATATACATTTGCTAAAATTTCCCAGTACCAAGAATAAAAATGGCAGCATTTTCAGGGGTAATGCAGTCTATTTACTTCTTATGGATTGTATCTAGCAATATTATGCAATACAGCTTCAAAACAAATGTGACTTTTAGTTGCCATTTCAATACTGCCAGGTAAAATGGCATATGGTGGCAAATGTTACTTACTATATTTTATTTTGCCACTCCACAGAACCTTAACCCTCTAAGCGGCAAGGCCGTATATATACGGTCTAGAATTTTTTTTTTTTTTTTTTTTTTTTTATCTGCATGAACGTATATACAGTCAAAAGTCTTTAATCTGGACTCGTCGGGACTTTGGCGATTCCGGATTATCGATTTTTCCGGATTATAGATCATCAGTTTAAATCTGGTAAGATGGCATGCAGAAATTATAAAATTAAAAATATGAAACCGTAATTTATAAAATAATGAGCAATTATGATCTAAAGGGTATCAAAATTTACCAAAAAAGAAGCCTAATATTTATTTGTTTACTTTATTAAACATTTCTTTCAACGCGCGGATGCGTAAAGCATACCTTATGCATAGCCGAAATTAGAAAATTGCAACCAGAAAACTATTTGATTTGTATTCGTGATATTTATAATGACGAGGAATTTGATTTAATCATATCAAAGACGGAGTACATCAACATTAAATACTACATTTAGTAAGGAATTATAAGTCGAATAAAATAAAAACATCTGCCCTGAAGATAACGATAGTGTTGACAAATCAACTTCCAGTTCATTGTGCGCCGCGACGTCCCCCCGCCCCGCTCAGAGCAGCGTGAAATTGATAAACAGATTTCCGAACGGTTAGATAAACAAATAATATGCCTTTATCCATTTTTTGTAGCAATTCGTTTTTTGTTTGATGGACATTGAAACATACTTTCGTTTTCTAGATCCTTTGGGAGCTCCAGCATCAGAAATTCTATTTGACATAATCGAAAGTTCAAGCTTACTTTTAGAAAATTGCTTTTACAGTCTGCAAAAAATAATAAGCCCTATCCAATTCGAAGATTAAGGAACAACGCAATCATCAACATTAACTGAAATAGATAATTAGATAATTTTAGCTGATACCGTCAGTTATATATTAAACGCGCACGCGAAAACGTATTCTGCACTTGCGCAGACGCATATGCGCAGTCGTAAATGTCTTGCGCGCACGAGTAAAACGCCTATGCGCATGCGTTAATGCGGCGCATGCGCAGAAAGATTTTAGCTTTGAGGTCCGGATTATAGATCATTCCGGATTATGGGTGTCCGAATTAACGACTTTTGACTGTATACGTGCATATTAAAATATGTCAAAGAAATTAAGGCAATATATCAAAAGTACACAAATCCAGGTATGAAATACGAGGAGAGTTTTCACATTAAAATCAAAATATAATTTGTTCTCATAATAGTTTTGCGAAATTTGTGCTTTTTTAGAGAAAATCCTGACCGCTCAGAGGGTTAATTCAAGAAATGTACTAACGATAAAAAATATGTTTGCTACAATCAGATAACTTTATCTATGTCAATGGGGTATGAAAAATATTAAAATACTGAGGATTAAATTAATAGAATAAAAATATTTAGTCATTCCAAAGGTTCAGTGGTTTTTCAAATCGAAGTGCACTTTCTTCTAATTGTTCTAATTGCTTTCCAGTTGCTGGTTGCATACTTCTAACATGTGTTGTGGCATAATTTTTGTTTCAAGGCAATGCTAAGTATATAGAATACAAAACTTCAATTTTCATCATATGCTCTTTTACTTTAAGAAATAAAACTATGCGAGTAAGATTACTCATAAATTTATACTGTATATGGGAAAACTGATGTTCCTGATGTTTCAGTTTGAAGGGGTTTGAGAGTTTAAGCAAGAAAATCTCAGCCTCGAAGACGAAGCATATCTGTATTCAAGGTTCTATTAAAAGAAGCTATCACTGAAAATTCAAATTACAAACTTAGGAACTATCAGACAAAATAAATATTTCAAAAAAGTGCAATACATGATCATTTAAAAAAGATTAGGTATGCAAGCTGCTAGGATAAATGGGTACCCTATAATTTTAACAAAGCAAACTATACTTGCTGAAAAAATAAAGCTCCTTTTTTAAAAAAAACAAAGAAGAAAACGTCATTATAAGTAATAAGAAGTGGATACTATACAATGATTTTGCAATACAAAGGTTATGAACTAAGCCAAAAGAACCTTCTTTAGTACCTTCAAGGGGAGACTCCATCCCCTAAAAAATTATACTTAGAGTATAGTGGAACTACAAAGGAACTGCATGCTATAAATTTTTGGATAAATACTGTTCCTAAATCACAGTTTTAAAAGCAAAAATCGAAGCAAAGCACCCAAAAGTGACCAATCTTTGAGGTGTTGTCTTCCATCAAGAAAACGCAAAGCATCACTTTTATGTCAAATAAAAACTTATTGAGTATGGCTAAGATGTTTTCTGTCATCTCTCATATTCACTAGACCTCACCCTTAGAGATTTTTATCTCTTCAGGTGACTTCACAATTCTCTGAATGGCCTAGAGTTCACTTCTTTGAAGACTATCAAACAACATATTGGTAACTTACTTACACGTAAACCTAATGACATTCTTAAAAAAAAAAGGAATTTTTCAGCTGCCTCAGAGATAGCAAAAAGTCACAGATTAAAATGGTGCTCATGTGATTCAATAAAAGTTTTTTATGTTTTTTACTGCTTCATTTATACTTAATTGCATTCATCTGTATCAAAAGACAACAGAACTTTCTGGATGACTCAATAGTAAGCAATTATGCAAAAGAAACCAAGCGCGAGAATTTGTGCAGTATAAAAATATGAAGTTCAACTACAAGATGATGCTCTATACAAATTTTTACTTCTATCTCAACATCAGTTTTATTCTATCTACACTACATTATCATTATTATAAAGTTTACATTAAAATAATTATATATAACGCAATTAAATTCCTCTTAAATGATTCTCAACTTTTAAAAAATTCAAAATAATTCTTTAAAAACCTTGATTCCTTTAAAAACTTAAAAATTTACATTTATTATTTCAGTTAAAAAAATTATAGTTTAGCTTTGTACAACATATTGAATTAATACTTAAATTTGAAATAATTATTACTTACTCTGCAACGAAATAGGAATCTTTTGTCAGAATCAAAATTGCATCCATATCTTGTTTATCCGGATCTCCAGTTCTAAAATTGAAATATATATATATTGCCATAACAGTACATAAAAGGAAAATTAGCAACACACGATTTCTTATTTTCATTCATTTTCTCTGGAGTTAGGTAGAATTAAAATATGTTTTCTATATTGCACCATTTATGTATTTATTCAAACACATAAATCAACTTTTCAAATACATAAAATAAAGTTTGCATCTAAAGAATACTTTCAGACATATATATTTCTGTAAACTTTTCATTAATTCATTAGCTGCAAAATGAATAAAATATTAGCATTGAGAATTTTACTTGTAAGAATTAATAATTAGTTAACCACCAGCTTAAAAATGTATTTTCAAATTAAGAAAGAAAATGATAAAAACTTGGCTGATTATCCTCAAATTTCTTTTAATGTATGGGAACAGATCATTAGAAAGACAGAGCAAATAATACAATGAATCCTTCCTAAGATGACCACTCATAGTTGCAGCCATTCTGGTTTTCTGTGAATGTGATTATCTTAGAGAAGTGATGTTTAATAAAAGTTTGTTTATGTTCTAAGAATTACTGGTCATTTACAGAACCGGTCCTCTTAGGGAAATGATTGCCACAAGAGTATTGCATTTAAAATTTTTAAGTATCAAAACTATATACATTCTCAGTACTTGCTTGCTATCTAGTATCCATTGATATACTGTGAATAATCTATTAATGCTTTTGGGGGATGAAATCTGACTTTTTTTTCAACAAGTATTGTTTGGTAATTGCACTCAAAACAATATCAGACAGATTGTTATTTCCTGCAGCTTGTTCTGCCTTCACCCTGATATACCCTGATATGTAAGAAAACAAATGATGACATGATCTATCAAATTACCCTTTTTTCCTCCACTTTGCTGATCCTCACATACATTCCATTGCTTGTGTTTGGATTCCAGCCTTGGGTTTGTTGAAATTAAAAAAAAAATAAATAAAAAAATAAAAATTCCTGTCAATTTGTAATAATTTATTGCTGAACACTTGGAAGAATTTGAATGGGTGGCATTTTGGTGATGTATTAGCTGGCATTGGATAACATACAAGAACCATATTCCTAAACTAATCACTATGCAAAATCTGATGCACAACAACATACAAAGTCAAAACGAACACAGCTTTAATACACATTTAGGTGTATCTATAGCACATCCTCAGTACATAGGACACAGCATCACCTCTGAAATAACATCACATCAGATAACTTTGTACGAAATTGATATGGATGATCCTACTATACAGAAATATATAATGAGTTTTAGTTTTCATTTTTGACATTAGAAAAGGATCTAATTTTTAGTGGACATTAGAAATTAGTTTATCTTTTATATATATGCATATCTTTAGTAGATATCCAAATTATATTATCAAGGGCTATCTGTATACGAGCAGGGATGCCTTCATTGAAGATATTTTCGAGACAACTGGCTCTTATTCAATTGGTTTAATTAATGGATGGACAAAATCATGAACACTCCTATGCAGCTTGCCCATATGATTTGATCTTAACCTGGCTTGAATTTCCAACACTGAACAATTTTACCAATCAAGACTTTTTTGGATCATTATATTTGCTATTATATGTTACATGTCATTGCATTACATCATGTTATTAGGTATTATGCACATAACTCTACAAATGTTGTGTTTTCATAGCCCTCAACACAAAATTATTAATTTACCTTCTATATGCCTGGCAAACAGTCAATTACCACAATGCTTAACATAACTTTAAGATCTTTAATGTACTTTTCAAATTACAACTAACTGCTTAACACAATTATTTAAAAACAATAAATGCACTTCTTTTAAATACTTTTAAATCTTTATCTTATTTTCGTTGATAACTTGTCAAGTTAATATAAGTTATAATACACTTAATTTATAATGTATTTAATTTTTATGTATTATGCATTAAATTTTAATTTATTATGTAATCAATTTTAATAATTTTTATAAACATTTGCAGTTAATATGAATCATATGAATGACAATACATTTCACCTATAGTGCATTCAACTGATAATTTTTATGAACAACTGCAGCTTTGTTACGATCAATAAAACATACAAACATACTTCTAAGACAGATAATACATATTTGGAAACTTATATTTGTAATCTAAATAAAATGTTTCTAATGTCAGATAACACATACTTGGAAACTAAAGCAATTTATTTATATTCATATATATTTACATTTATCATCTTAAAAGGTATTATACGAAAAATACTTAATTTTATATGCCTTTAAGAGCTTATAACAAAATTTAATAAAAAATAGACATGCAAATATTTTTCACTATTATGAAAAATGTAAATGACTAGGAAGCAGATTTAACTAGAGACTAAGAAGTCTTGAATTAACTTGTACACTGCAAAATAAAATTAGCAAATACAAAAAAAAAAAAAAAAAAAAAAAAAAAAAAAAAAAAATTATGTCTTACACAGGATCAGCATCAATGAGAGCCCATCCTCCAAGAACAACTTCAGTCTCAGGTATCAAAATTTTTTTGCAATCTTCTATTAGTTGCTTCACTCGCTCATGATGCTCTTGTTCATTAATTTCAATTTCTGGATCAACTTCTTCTCGTTCTGGGGTAACAGCACTTATATCTTCAGTCAATGGATTACCCATCATAAGGTCAATGGTGGCTTGACGAAATGCATCTTTAAAGCGATTTACATAATACCTAATTTTTAAATAAAACTCTAATATTAAAATTAAATATATACAGTTTATAACTCATATGTATATATGTACATAGAATGATGATATTTGCAGACAGATCTAGCTGTACATTCAACATAATTTTATTACTGGATAACACAGTTCTTCAGAAGCATAATCTGATTTACACATCATTATGGGCCCAATGTGCAACCCCACAATTTTTAGAAGTATACATCTTAAGACATACATTTTTTTAATAAAAACATGCACAGTTTTTAATAGAAAAGTTAATAATATGTCTCATAATACCTACAATAATTTTAATTATTTTAATAGTCATATTCTGAAGTGCAAGTTAAGAATGATTTGTGACAGATTCAAAACATTTTAAATAATTAAAATTATCAATAATTAACATGTATATTAAAATTATCTGTTCATGCATGCAATAAAAAAATCATTTGAATGAAGTTCTGGCACACTGTGAAGAGAAAATCCATTTAAACAGTTTCTGAATTCTTAATCCTACAGTTAATTTACCTTAAGCAAATCCTACAGTTAATTTATCTCAAGCAGGTCTTATTCACTGATGTATTTTCATTTTAAAGTAAAATCATTCACTGGAACTGAATGTGTAATTCAAGCTTGAATTGAGAAGAATTTTCTAATATGTTTTACAAGTTAGTACTGAATACATACATTAATGGGATTTTTAATCTAAGGTAAATTTTTAAAGGAAAATAAAATATGATGGCTGAAGTTGCGAAAACTGGTCTGCTATTCTAAAAAATATTTTTCAGCTCTTTAATCTACTTCATTACTCTTCAAACAACTTCTAGGAAAACTTTCTGACAGAAATTAAGAAAATAATCTAAATGTACTTGCTGATTAGTGATATGTCAAAAATTTAACTAAATATTTATTAAATTTGATTGATTTCCTGTTCCTCTGCTGCATACGCCATTCATTTCTTTCTGTCTTTTTTCAAACCACTGTCAGTGGATTATTCTGAAATATTTAACTTCCATAATAATTTTATTTATTTATTTGACAAGCTATTATGCGGTTCTTAGTGCATAAATGTATGTGATTTATCAGTTTAATGATAAGCACAAATATCAAAATAGCTCACAGCTTTTTCAAAACAAGAATTTGATTCTTAACTATCTTTTGAATTATTGGTCGTGATACTGCTTATTACGGCTGGATTAAGACTAGGCTTTAAGAACTTAAAAGATTTTGATGCCCCCATAGATGTTTATGCCAGTTTTTCTTCATTGCTTCTATCTCTCTCAGTTTTCGTTAATTGCACCATGTACTTATGGTAAAAATTGGGAATAGGAAACTTTTTGATGCCCACTTTTCTGAATACTTAAGGATGTTTTCGTGGTGTTCTTTTTCCTTTATGCCCTAAGCACATGCTTACACTGCTTAATGATTAATTCAGTGCTACTGGTTATAAATGCATTGTATATTTAGTTAGATATTTTTCGAAAATGCAACTGTCCTTTAAAGTTTATATTTTCATGCATTCATGGAGATGCAACTAATATTAAGAGGAAATCCAAACTTTTCGTGAAAAGTAGATAATAGAAGGCAATCTAAATTTCATTTTTGTATTCAGATAGTTAAAAATTAACTTTAAATGAGATTACTACTACAAGAAGTGAAATTTTTGTTGTTAAAAACAGCAAATATGTAAGTACAGCTTAGTAGATAAGTCTTGCAACAAACAAGTATTTAACCATATAAATGCATTTGAGAAAAGTAATACTAATTCCAGATACAATAAATAAAATATTATTCTGAAGATAGCTTTGAAAGTAATTAAAAAAAACTTAAGAAATAGGTTTAAACTACCACCATAATTTTTTAAAAATTAAGGGTGCATGGAGGCTGTGAAGGAACATTGTGGCCACTAATGTTTCACCATACTGTGTATGGCAAGATACCATGCAACATATATTTGTTTCATTCCCACCAGATGGCATATACTTAAGAACTCTGTACTGCATGGAAAAATTAATTTAGAGCAGCTCAAAAGATTCCTTGATGAGTACAGTCAAAAGTCGTTAATTCGGACACCCATAATCCGGAATGATCTATAATCCGGACCTCAAAGCTACAAACTTTCTGCGCATGCGTCGCATTGACACATGTGTGTAAGACCTTTACGGCTGCGAATTTGCATGTGCGCGTGTGCAAAATACGTTTACAAATGCGCGTTTAATGTATAACGGACGGTATAAGCTAAGCTCTAATTATCTATTTCAGTTAATGTTGCAGATTGCATTGTTCCTTAATCTTCGAATTGGATCCGGCTTATTATTTTTTGCAGACTGTTAGAGCAATTTTATAAAAGTAAGCTTGAACTTTTGATTATGTCAAATAGAATTTCCGATTTATATTTACTAATATGTAACGGATCTACAAAGCGAAAGTATGTTTCGGAGTTCATTAAACAAAAAGTGGAATTGCTGCAAAAAATGGATAAAGGCATATCCTTTGTTCATCTAAACTTTAAGGTTTGTTTATCTAAACTTTGTTTATCTTTATCGCCGCGCGCAATGAATTGGAAGTTGATCTGTCAGCACTATCCTTATCTTCAGGGCAGATGTTTTTATTTTATTTGGCTTATAATTGCTTACTAAATGTAGTATTTCATTTCGATATACTCCGTCTTTGATATGATTTAAATCAAATGCCTCGTCATTATAATTCGCTTCCGATAGCGAAGAAAGTAACAGAGGTTATTGAAAACGAAAAAATTTCGATTGACAAATTAGTCGGTATTCTCGACACAGCAATTATAGGACTTGAAATGCGGAACTTTGTAACTGAACAAGAAATTATGTATGTTTATAGAATTAAAGAGAATGTATTATCACATAAAAAACGAAGCAACTTAAACAACTTACATTGAAAGAAATGTTTAATAAAGTAAACAAATAAATATTAAGCTTTTTTTTTTTTTGTAAATTTTGATACACTTTAGATCATAATTGTTCTTTATTTCGTAAATTACGGTTTCATATTTTTAATTTTATAATTTCTTCATGACATTTTACCAGATTTAAACTGATGATCTATAATCCGGAAAAATCGATAATCCGGAATCGCCGAAGTCCCGACGAGTCCGGATTAATGACTTTTGACTGTAATTGGAATGGTAATAAAAAATTTTACACTTTCCTTTTGTTAATTTGCTAATTTAAATCTTACAATTTTGTTTCATTTAAATTAAACATTTCTCAGTTCTATAATGGAAATATAGTTTTTAACTCTAAAAATATTAAGCTCTTTAACATATATTTTCCTTATTCAAGTTACTTATATCTATTCAAGGTATCTATTGAGATGTAAAATTTTAATTATGAAGCATGACAAGTTATTTATTAGTTTGCAATACACGAGTATAATAAACATGTAATGGATTTCTCAATTTTTCATTTATCATGCTTCATAAGAGATATAACAGCTGCATAATATTAATTCAAAGATACCATAAACATTTGTGAAAATAAGTTTGATCACAGTGTGAGAATCTGAAGGTGATGTGAATATCGGGTATTGATGTAGTATGAAATCTACTACTTTTAGTTAGTTACTTATTTCTTAGGTGGTGCCACTAAAATGCTATTTTTTTTTAAGAATACATAAATGAAAATGATTCCATTAATAAATTTAAATAGCTTTTAAATATTTAGTTCTATTAAATTTAAACTGCTTTCAGTTTTACAAAGCAAGAGTGGCCTTTAACAGTGTTGTTTTTATGAGTCTTTCGGCCATTACACTACAGATGTCCCACAGCATGGCCAAAAAGTGCTAATGGATTTCCACCATGCTCCTGTGAGGTAACATAGAAGATTTGCAATGTGGTACTGTGAATTTTACATACAGTACAAAGTCTTTAATACGGATGTCCATGATCCGGACCTCAAAGCTACAAACTTTCTGCTACAAATGCATAATGCATTTACGCATGCACATAACACCTTTACGCATGCGCACATGCATTTATACATGTGCATAATACGTTTACGCATGCACATAACACCTTTACGCATGCGCATATGCATTTATGCATGCACATATGCGTTTATACATGTGCATAATACGTTTACGCATGCACGTTTAATGTATAACGGACGGTATAACTAGGCTAAAATTATCTAATTATTTATTTCAATTAATGTTGCAGATTGCGTTGTTCCTTAATCTTCTAATTGGATCCGGCTTATTATTTCTTGCAAACTGTTAGAGCATTTTTATAAAAATTAAGCTTGAACTTTTGATTATGTTTCCGATTCTGGAGCTGCCAAAGGATCTACAAAGTGAAAGCATGCAAAATTAAGCTTGAACTTTTGATTATGTTTCTGATTCTGAAGCTGCCAAAGGATCTACAAAGTGAAAGCATGTTTCAATGTCCATCAAACAAAAAGTGGAATTGCTGCAAAAAATGGATAAAAAGCATGAAGAAAGTAACACAGAGGTTAGTGAAAACGAAACAATTTCGATTGACAAGTTAGTCGGTATTCTCAGCACAATTACAGGACTTGAACAGTGGAACTTTGTAACTGAACAAGAAATTATGTCTGTTTATAGAATTAAATAGAAAGTATTAGTACAAAAAACAAAGCAACTTAAACAACTTACATTGAAAGAAATGTTTAATAAAGTGTTTATGTAAGTATCGTTTGCTTCATTTTATTGTTGCAAACAGCGTAAATTCCTTTTGATTTTCTTTCTTTAGTTTTGAACTTTATGTGTGGCAACAAGATAATTGATTGATAGAATTGTGTTTGTGACAGCCATGTAGAATGGCTCGCTTATTTTGTATCAATTATTTTGCATCGCTGACAAGTGTAATTTAATAAAAGTGTAGGAATACAGTCCATTTGTTGATTGATTATAGTTTGTGAAACACATTAAGTTTAAGAACACATATTGTTGGTCAAAAGTCTAGCCGGAGAGCTAGTGAAGATAGTGACTGTTCTAAGTGTATTCTAACAACACAAA